ATCTCAAGTAGTTATGCTAGTCCCGGTGGTTTTATGTAAGAAAAATAATGATTATCCTTTGGAGCATCCAAAAAGGTGGAGATTCGCTATTGATTACCGTAAATTAAATTCCATAACGAAATATCCGGTATATCCGTTACCGATTATAGAAGAAATTTTAAGGAACATAAAATCAACCAAATTTATGACGACTTTAGACTTAACGAATGGTTATTTTCAAATAGGGGATCAGGCCTGAGGACGTGCCTAAGACTGCTTTTATAACCAAGTCTGGCACTTATGCATTTTTGCGTAATGCCGTTTGGCCTTTCAGGCGCCCCAGCAACATTTCAGCGATGCATGGACATTGTGTTAAGACCTGTTCTTGGAAAGTCCACATTTATCTATTTAGACGATATCATTATTACTAGTGATAATCTCGACCAACATGTACAGGATTTAAGACAGGTGTTTTCTTTATTAAAATGAGGCCGGTTCTAAAAGTTAATGTCGAAAAGTGCAAATTTGCAGCCCCTGAATTAAAATATTTAGGTTACAAAATATCGCAAAAAAAGGGATCGAGACAGATGAATCAAAAATAATCGCTGTACAAAAGTATCCGACTCCAAACACGGCAAAGAAGCTCTCTTCTTTTCTAGGACTTTGTTCATATTATAGGTCCTTTATAAAAGATTTTGCGGCTATCGCTGAGCCATTGTTAAAATTAAAAAGGAAAAAGGCAAGATTCTCGTGGACGGCCGAAGCCAATAGTGCTTTCGAAAAATTAAAACAAGCATTAACGCAAGCCCCTGTGTTGAAATTTCCTGAAAAGGATGAAAATTTAGAAATTTCAGCGGATGCTTCGGATTATGCGGTAGGAGCGGTACTTTCGCAAAAATCAGCAGCCAGTGGCATTTTTTAGCCGAACTTTAAATCAAACACAAAAGAAACTATTCCGCGACCGAGAGAGAGGCACTTGCAGTTCTGTTAGCAGTGCAAAAGTTCCGAGTCTATTTTGGAAAGGCGCCGATAACAGTATATTCTGATCATGCGGCGGTAAGGGTAACTAGATTGTACTCAGGGAAAAATTTATCCCCAAGGTTAATAAGATGGGCACTCAAGCTGCAAGAATATAATCTGGTAATCAAGCATACCCCCGGAAAGGAAAAAATATCGTAGCAGATGCCCTATCACGAATTAAATTAGACGAACAGGGTAATACCGTAAAAGTTGCAATGCTGACAGCGTGTACAATAAATTCCCGAGAAACTGTAATAACCGAACTGGGTAAGGATCCTGAGTTTGGAAGTATTTATGAGTATTTGAAGGATCCTGAAAATTTTAGCCACCAAGATATTGTGGCGATAAGAAATAGGGCGGCCCATTACGAACTAATAGATGGTCTATTATTTTATACAAAAACTACGAATTCCAACAACGAATTTCGACCTGTTATCCCAGCTAGTCTTAGATTAAATATCCTGCAAGAGCTCCATGACAGCCCTTTAGCTTCTCATGCTGGTATTCGAAAAACTATCCAACGCGTACGCGAGGCAGTCTACTTTCCTGAACTGCAAAAGTTAACAAGGGCGTATGTCCAGTCCTGCCCAACATGTCAAGCCGTTAATTATATTAATTTCCGCCCGGCCGGGTTTCTAAATAGTATTAAATCCGAATTTCCAAATGAAATAATTGGCATCGATTTATTGGGCCCTTTCCCAAAAAGTCAGTTAAACAAAAGTCGCTATCTCCTTGTTATGGTTGATCATTTTAGTAAATGGACCGAAATTGTTCCCTTAAAACGAGCCTCCGCGAAATTAGTTACTGATTCTATTTTAAATAAATATATTTTAAAATACGGGGCGCCCCTAAAAGTTATATCGGATAATGGTCCTCAATTTGTAAGTAATATATTTGAAGACATGTGCCAAAAACTGGGCATACGTCATTTAAAAATGGTCCCGTATCGGCCGCAATCAAATATAGCGGAACGGGTCAACAGAAATATAGTGAAAATTATCCGTAGTTATGTTAAAAATTTTCATAAAAAGCTGGGATAACTATGTCAATGAATTTGCTTTCGCCCTTAGGACCGCAAAAACATGATACAACGGGCAAAACTCCTGCTGCTGAGTTATTTCTAGGCAGAAAGATTATAACACCGTTAGATAAACATATTTTATGTGCAACAAAGAGCCCCAGAATTTAAAATGGGTGATATAGAAAAACTAATAAAAGAAGCAAAAAAGAATACGGAAGTAGCACAAAGAAAACAAAAATTGTATATATGACTTGAAACGACGGGGAGTAAGTAACTTATAAAGTAGGGGATGAAGTTTAAAAATTAAGCATTCACTTTCTTCAGCACCAGAAGATAAAACTGCCAAATTTTTTCCACGATTTGAAGGACCATATGTTATAGAAAAAATAACTCACGCTGTTGTAGTGTTAAAGGCCAGAAATGGTGAAAACCTGTTCCGCAAACATTGATCAAATCAAACCCTACTTCGATCGTAATAAAATGCAAATCTTTTCAGATCTTTTGCAGGATCCGGCACGGCAGACACCGCAGGTACAAGTTCCAGAGGTGGGAAAACGACAAGTACAAGGGCAAGCCAATGAGAGACAGAAGCAAGTGAAGTGAAAAGAAAATTGCCCCGCGGAAAAATTGAAGGTACAAGAAAAAGAAGCCGTTCCACCGTCCAGAAAAACAGAGTTCACGAACACCCCCAGAATGAAGAAGGGAGAAGGACGACGTATGTGGAAAAGGACCAGGAGAAAGGACGGCAACTATAACCCGGCTGTGAAACGGAAGATTGACTCATCCGACAGAACTCTCCGCAGCAAAAGTCGCCGAACTGCGGAAGGGGCCATCAGCGGCGGAGGAAAAAGTACAACAAGAAAAATTTGAACGGCCAACAACGAGGTCCAAGCAGGATCACGACAGAAGTTTCCCGGTTCCACCAAGACCAGCTGCCTTCAAACGGCCAAGACCACAAGCAGAGGACAGAAAGGAAGATGTTCAAGGGTGGCCGTAGTGGTGAAAAACGGAAGCTTCCAGAGGAAAGCACTGAAGGGCGAGCCCGTACAAGAAGGAGAGGATCAACCAAGCTACGGTCTGCAGCACCTTTAAAGACTGGGCCCAGAAAAGGATGTCCGAATATTACAAAGATAAGTAAAATTTTATGTTACTTTACAAACTTAAGTTAATCTTTCATTCTTACTGCAAGTGGCAGATTTCAAGAAGTTTTACCTCATGCGAGGTCTACCTTTATCGCCAAAAGGGCGAGAAATGAGTTGTGACCGATTTTCTTATTATGTTTTTCAATTACTCGCGCGTAAAAAACTAAAGTTGATGTATAATAGCGTTGTGTAAAGACTTAAATATTGTAAAAAGTTATTGTATAAATTTTATTTAAAACATTCTAGCAAGAAAGAAGTTTTAGTCTGAAAGACTTTTTGAAGAAATGTAGTATTATTTCAATGTAGAAAGAAATTGGCACTTGCTTTGAAAAGAATAGAAGTTAACAATGTACTACTAATGTATGTTTTCAAATGTGTAAAATTAACGGCATGTTGATATGTTCTTATATACATGTGAACTGTTATTTTGAAATGTTTAAGAAATACCGTGATATGGTAAAAGTGAAAGTAATGTTAAAAAAATTTGTTATTCGTGTGACTGTAAAGATTAAATCATGGTGAATATGTGTTAAAGGTTGTTGAATGATGTAGTTAGGCTCTCTGACGCTACACTTTAGAGTTAGCCACTTTCAGAATAGTACCTCAGGGTTTAGAGTTGAAATTAGGGTGTGTTAAGAGGTCTCGTATGTTGAATTTTAACACGTTAGTGTTTTGATTGTAGGAGGAAGTGTTGAACACATAGACAGAAACACATTCGTGTTTGGTGTTTTTACAACACATGTCAGAGAGCACGGGGAGAGATAATTAAAATAGTCATGAATGAAATAAGAATGTTAAGAAAAGTATATTCTATATGTTATTTGCAATGTCATTCTGTAACATTTCATTAAACTAGTTTTCCTTCCAGATCTCTGGAAGGAACCAGAATTGAATAAAGCTCCTGTTTAGATGCAGTACAGATGAAAAAGAAAAAAGATTGTTGTATATTCCGGGAGCTGCTATTGTAACAAATTTCTTTCTTTTAAAATTTTCTAGTTTCTAGCGAAGTTATGATTGTAAAAGGTTGGCCTCGCGTTAGTTTCTAGAGCTAAAAGTTTTCAACAAGGTCGTTTTAGACCTCAGTTTCAAACTAATTAACTCTGGCGGGAAGTATGTAAGGATCTTAAGTTTTACTAACGTTTATTTTATTTTAAATCTTTACTATCACTTCTTATTTTCTACTTCCGGCCAGAATTATAAGCGTGAAGGAGTTTATGCAAAGTTTGTCTGGCGAACGCCAAGTATTTAAGTGTGGCCTTTTTGCCAAGCGAAGAGAGGAAGCCGTGAGTTCGAAGCAGGCCGCTTACCTTAGAAGTTACGCAGTTGCTACTTTGCCTTCCAGGCCAGAGGTTTTAATCCTCTTGATAAATTAAACGTATTGTAGTGTTCACAGTCTCTGTGCTACATACGCTTCCTGTTATTATAAGGCCAATCTTCCATTCTAAAGTTAAATTAGAGTTTAGTTTTATTTTGATATCTTTTAAGTTAGACCCCGAGTGGAGGGTCATTGTATTCCGAAGTACGGAAGTCATTGTATATAAAGAAAAAAATAAAGGGTTTTGTATACCCTTCGTCTGTATCCTGTCTACTTACTACAATTAGTGAACATAGCTTTAGTAAGCTCTCTGTTCTAGTCAGGTCATTGTATGTTTCCGAAGAAGGTTAGAAGAAACATTGAACCTGATAATATAAAGACCTTTTTCACAAAAATCTTTACTTATAACAAATTCGTAACATCTTATTTTTATGGCAGTTTTGTATTATGTATATTGTTAAGCAAAATCAGTCAGAAGTAGTTGGTTATTACAATAATGCATAAAAGGAAAATTTCAACTTACGTTAACACATCCTCATCTAGACTAACACTGCTTTCTGTCTCAACAGCTAGGCCAGTTGCAACAAGAAGATCATCTATAGTGGCATTTTTTGGTACTTCTGCATTACTATCATCTTGTGGTGGTGGTGGTGACAATAAACCACTTGAAACTGAGTTGAAACTGCCTTCTACAGGTTTTCCATTGACTACAAAATACAGGAGAAGAGTGCATATCACATTTTTAGGGCTTAATACTACAATAATATAAAAAATATAAGTGTCAAAATATTAATAGACTGCTATAGTCTAAAAATAGAAACAAAATACGTACAGGATAAGCGAAGCCTAAGAGCCCCGGGTTGCATTTCTGATGCTTCTTGGGAAATAACTTGCTTTTTATATTCTACTCTTTGTTTTTTGCTGTTAGTTGGATTTTCATCAACAACTAAGTTGTCATCATCTGAATCGACAAAGTCATACACAGACTCCTTTTTGACAGGAACATCCTCTTCTTTACTATATTGCAAAATATAAATTTATTTAACTAAAGTTGCCAAATTATTAAACTAAGGTAAATATAGGTATTTCAATTTAAAACAAAATTTCTTACTGGGTAACTTTTTTTAATTTATCCGTTTTAAAATGTTATTTATATGAAGCAACATTATACACAAGATTAAAGCAAGCAATAATTTCTTCATAATTAATGAAAGAACTATTATCACAGAAATGCATATCATACAAAAGGTGAACAGTTAAGGTCAGTTTACACCTGTCAGAGCGGCTCGGAGCGAGTCGCTCCTTACGATTACTTTGACAATGTAAACGCTCGCTTCGACGGAGTACAAACGTAGGGGAGATGAGTCAGCGCTTCCGTTTCTACTTTGAACCTGTTGAAAAATCTCTCCGGGCAGTTACTCTGAGCAGCGTTCGCAGGGACGTCGTGACAGTGACTTCTATAATCGAGATTAAGCGATAGCCAAACCATGGCATTTTTAATGCATACGCATCTTATGAAGTGTTTTACTTCTATAATTATGTGAGCTTATATTATTTTTCACAAGCATGAGATGCAATAATATGTGATAACCTATAAAAATAAAAAAAAAAATTTGAAAAAGATATGTAGATCTGTTTTATTGGGGATATTTAAATTTCTGCTTTGTATAAAAGATTCTGGGTATAATCGTACAATTCAGGCTGGATTGTGAAAATGTTCAGCTTGGAGTGTGAGTGCAAGTACTGAAGGGTATTAAGGTTATTACAAATTATGCTAGATGAATTCTAATCTCCTTAAACTATCCGTTTTAGCATTTTAAAAGTAAAGTATAATCACTATATTACCCATTATTAATTTGTTGATATCACTTTGTGTGTTGTCCAGAAACACAATTTCAGTAGGATCCAAAAGTAACAATTTGCGATAAAGATCTTCCTCTTGGAACTATGTCATAATATATATATTCTTTTACCTGTAGTAAATATAGTATGCTCCCAAGTTTTTTGGTACTTCTTATTTATTTAAGATTTTCTGAATAATTAGGTAGATGTCATACAGTTTACTTCTGTCGTGTTAATGGTGCTTTGAATAAATATTCCATGTGTTTAATTTTGCATTCTTCTCTAGAAATAACACAGTTTCCAGTCAGAAACTCTGCATAATTAATTCATGCACGAGAGCTACTGATTCTGTATGAATAAAATATTCTTTCTATTAATAAATAATAAAACACATTATTACTTTTACATTATTTTGTAAATGATTAATTAGTTGTAAATAAACAGTTGTATATTGTATATAGTAGAAAAACTTTGTTAATTTGACTTTCAGTAACCACAGTTGACTAAATAACTTCTCTCAAACTGAGTTTCTTTTAAATTCTTGTATCTGATATGCAATAACGTTTTTGTAACTTTGGACATTCTAGTCCGAAATTCATTTAATAGTTCATTTGATACACCTAATTCATCGCGGCAAGCTACCCAATGACGTACCCATTTTTTTCTTCTTCTTTTTTTTTTTTTTTTCCCTCCCAAGAGCAGAAATTAATTCTTTTGAAACTGCTTCGCAGACTTTAAGCACTGCAGCCTAAGAACATATATGTATGTTCAATGCATATTCTTTCCTGCAGCTGCGACGTCGGTATCCATTTCGTAAACAAACGGTGGCGAGTTGTCAGTCCACTCTGATTGGTGTAAACAATCTATCAGAGTACAGGTCCATTCACTCGGTTCGAAACGCCCGGACGAGCGGCTCGCTATGAGCAGCTTTGACAGATGTAAACTGGCCTTTAATCAGCATTTTAAAAAACGCTCTCCATATACTTCTACTGTAATGAGGCTTGAAGCTATCATCTTGGACTTATATTAATATTTTATCCCTATTTTGTATTAACAGACACATATACAAAACATCATGTCTGGAACAGTTATTAATATAACTTATAAATATTGGTAATTATGTAGTATGCGATATACTGCTTTTATTTAGTTATTAGATGGCGCCACTAAAACGCTATTAGCAATAAAATGTTAGGAAGAGAAAAATGATTAACAGAACAGCCAATTTTAGTGCTACCTAATTTAGAGCTAAAAAATGAATAAAATTAATATTGAACTAATTACCTAATTTTAGTGCTAAAAATGAATAAAAGTGGTAGATTGCATGATCTAATACACCATGTATAAAATTGTCTAAGATAATGGAAACATTAGGCTTAAAAAATTTAATTTTATTCATCTCGATTAACTAGCAAACATAGCCATTACTTCTTTGTATGATTATTTTACAAGCAGAAAAAGTTGTAAATATTAATTGCAGTTTATAAAAATTTATTCATTGTGAAGGGAATTTATTGAGCTCCAAATAGATCAAAATATCAGCATCTGGCTCAGTGGCACATTTGTAATCTCAATTGTAAAATCATTGAGGATAATCAAGATGTGCAGTGTCCAAAATCACGATTTCATACAATATTCTCAGAAAAATATGATGTGTTGCGAGTCATAATAGGGAGATTAAAATGAAATTTATCGAGAAGGCTAGAAGGATATGTAGTAGGATTGCGATGTCAAAATCACTCAGAAAATCAAAAGTGACTGCTGTACTAAATATGCATTTATAGAACTCAGTTTTAACATGAAGAGTACAAGGGGAACTACAAAAGCATAATATTCTCAGCAGAGCTTCTATCTCAAATAGGAATATTAAATGGGTTACGAATATAAAATGTGAAATGCAGATCAAAGGAAACAAACAATCCTGTTTTCAGATAAGTCAATCAACTTTCACACTATTTCCCACCTTAAGAAAAGCTTACAATCCACAGTGTCTATTTCTAACAATAAAATCTGATGATCATGTTATATCATGATTTTCAACTGATCTAATTATTACATTATAAGAAAGAATAAATATTGCTGATGACATAAACATTTTAAGTGATCATGTCTACTCAATGGTGCAGATACTCTGATTTCTACAGATTAACTGCATCTCTCAAGATGAAAATGCTTCCATCGACTAAAATCAGATTGTTCAGTTATAGTTTTAAGAACATGAATGTGAAATTACAGATCTTCCCTGGAATGCACAATCACTAGACATAATAGCATTGAATCACCACATTCTCACTTCGATAATACAATGTCCTTTTTTATCTTCAAGCATGTTCTAAAAATGTGAAGCAGTTTCAAATAAAAGAATGGCAGAATACTTATTATCATCATTTAGAGCCTACATGTCTGTACAGTGAGACCCTGCTTAACACTGTTTTGTTTAGCTCTGTTTCATTTTAACGCTCTTTTATTTGAATTGTGGAATTCCCCGAAATTGCATGCAATGTTAGACCAAAGAAGGAAAGATTCCGTAAACCAGTTTGCTATTACGCCGCTGGAAAGAGGAGTGAAAATTCGCCAAGGGATTTGGTGATGGAACCTGCCGGCGAAAATTTACCCCTCCACCATGCATACAGAAAATTGAGGAACACGTGTTAAGAAGAAACAACCTCCGACAAAAACGTTTCTTCTTTGACATTTCGGGATAATTTAAATTCGGATTTTTGAACTTTTTTGCTCAAAATAACTAATTTATTATTTAATTTACTTGAGCAAAAAAAAATATTTTCTTTTCCTTTAAAGTTTAAAGAAATTAAAAATGATATTTGTTTTATGAACTCTTGATAAACGTAGCCTTCAAACTTCGACGATGGCTTCGAGCTTTGGCGACAGATATTTTGTACATGCGCAGCTGTTTTCCTCTATGTTGGGAAAGAGCTACTCCTGCTGCGGAGAAGTTTTCCTTCTTAATATTATATTTTCTTTACTTCGACGCCGGCTTCTAGCTTTGCCAACAGATATTTTGCACACGCGCAGCTGTTTCCCTCTTCGTTGGGAAGGAGCCAACATAGAGGGAAGCAATGTTTTCCTTCTTAACATTGCATATTCTTTGGTTAGGCTTCCCGATATCTGAAGCAGTTTATTTGTGTTTCTTCTTTCTGTGGTGTTATACAAACGCATTTTTATCATTTCATATATCATCAATATTTTTATAATATTGGCAAAAATATTGATGATAAAATATTCATATATCATCAATATTTTTGCCTGTCTGTTAAACGTTATTGCGAAATTAAAAAACTTGAATCAAGAGCACTACTTGCTCCATGTTATCCAATGAATTTATCTGACTTAATAACAACCATTCCAATCAAAGTGGTTTTCTTGCTGCCTAACACAACTGCCTTAATCCAACCAATGGATCAAGGTGTTATATCAAATTTTAAGGCTTATTACCTGCGGCAAACATTTAGACAGACGTTTGAAAAAACAGACAGAGAAGAGAAACAATCAGTAAAAGAGTTTTGGACTCTTACGATCAAAAAGAGAGTAGTCCTGATATGGACTACAATATCATGAATACTGTAAAAACATAACCTTTCTTGGAATGAGGTAACAGAAAAATGTTTGAAAGGGGTGTGGAAGAACATTTGGGCAGATCTAAGCAAGGGAGGTGACACTGGACACTCTGTCGATGTGAATGAAATAGTGGAATTAGCGAAACAAACTGATTTAGATGAGGTAAATGTGGAAGATGTCGAAGAAATAGTGCAAGAAACAGCAGCAATTCTTTCTAATGATGAACTCAAGGAATTAGCGTAACAAGAATACAAAAATATTGAAAGTAGTGATTCTGAAGAAGAGCTAAAAGAACTTTCAAAAGCGTTTCTAAAAACCAGTTTGATCACTATAAAAGAAATTCTGACAGGAGTTCAAAGGCAAGACGGGGTGTTATGGATGCCTTATCCGCTTACAACCAATTTCTTACAGAGCGCTAAAGGAAAACGCAAATTACATTAGTTACTTTCTTGATAAAAAGGCAGAAAATTGGAAATATAGAAGAGACTGAATGATCTGAAATGTAAACATACTGAGAATTTTATTTATTTTTATATGTATATTCATTTATTATGTTTCTATATTTATAAGAAATACATTTTTGTTTTATTGTTATATGAAACATAATTAATAAATTTATTATATGCACAATTCTTCATACTTTTAAGTGTTTCCATTATTTTGGACAACTTCTGAACTTAACCATATTACAATCTTTATATTTTTAAGTTTTCTTATTATTTTGAACAACTTTCATATTAATCATGCTCATGGACACAATTTATTTTAAATAAAATGTAATTTCCCTAAATCAATACAACCACTCAATGAATACCATAATTATAAGTTCTAAAATGATGAAAGGTTAAATTGCTAATAAATTTCATATCCCTCCTACTGACTTTCATAAAAGTTTTATATTTTGGAAAAAATGGTCCTGTATGTTATTTTTTGCACAAATGGATATTTTTAAATCAAGCTAATTATTGACAGCTCAGAAAAAATTAAATTTTTAAAATTATTTAAAACATCAGTAAAAAAAAAAAAAAAAAAAAAAAAAAAACACTTCGAAATAAGAAAATATCTTACCATGCATTAGCAATGCCAAAAGGGACAGAGCTATTTCTATGAGGTACAAGTCCATCTTTCAGTTGAGAATCAACAAAAAGGGAAGGATTTAAGCCCATATTCATTTGATCTAACATCATTTTAGAATCTTGTAGATGAAACTTTATGTCAGAGCTCTGAGATTGAAAATTGAAGTTACCATAAAAAGGATCAGAGTTTGACAACAGTTTGGGCTTGAGAGAAAATTTAGAAACTAAATTTAAATTCTTTTCTGATTCTGTGGGAGCCTGAAATAACAATTTTCATTATAAAAATTTTATTCAAAATATTTCTACTTTATTTTTTATGATAAAATGAATTAATTTCATATCAATATGAAATTAAAATATATATTAATATGAAAATAAAATATTACTTTAAAACTCACTTTTAAAGACAAAAAAAAAAGGGGGGGGGCATTAAAAACAGAATTTTAAACACATATTAAAAAGCAAAGTAATATTAGAATTACAGTGAAACATTGGTTCACCGCATATATGATTGTTTAGTTAAATTTTACAACAGTACAAGTTCAAAATAAAAACAATGGACATAAATCTTAAACTGTATCCACACTAAGAAGCATGCATGACATGAGAGCGAAGTAATGAGAAAGAGAAAATGTAGAGATGTTATTGTTTGGATGAGTTATCCCCTTCTATAAAAACATTTGGTAACTGTCTTTCTGGAGCACCTTCCTTTATGCTTTTATTTCCCCTAACCTTTTCCCCCCCTCCTTTAGCATCATTCAACTATACTTTGAATACAAATCTGACCAATATGATTTGTTATTTTCATTTAAAAATGTTTCTAAGGTAAAACATGGCACTGTCATTCAAAATGCTTTGTTTTAGCTTGCTACTCCTTCATCAGGGTAAATTCACCACATAAAACTTTGCATCTTTTTAAACAAAATTTGGGAATCAAGGGACTGGATTTATCTTTCTTCGCTCCTCCTTCCCCTGAAGAAACTTCTTCCACAGATGCCTTTTGTTGTTGCTTCAGTTCTTTTTTGTTGAACCTATTTTTATAATCCTTCTTTAAACCTCTTCACCTCTTTATTGCTAACATGTAAGCCAATCATTTTATTTAGAGACACAATATCATCAATAACAAAAAATCCTCAGTGGCAAAGCCCTTTAAGTCCTTTGCCTGCAACAAAGTTTAAATATATTTTCTCCCGACGAAAAATTTGGTCCTATAAACCATTTGCTGCCTTGGTTTGTTACAGAGAGTCAAGCAAAGGAACATATTCCGATGATGTTTCCAGAAGTCCCTGATTGTTACTTCTATGTCAAGTTACCACAAAACACCTTTGAAATTATTTGTAGCCTGTTTATATGTTGGTAACTCGAGATACCATTCATCATCAAAGATGCTATTTATTCAGATAATTTTTTTTTTTTTTAATCAAGATTTCAAAGCTCATTTAATTTTGCTACACTTTCCTACATGCTGGAAAAAATGAGAGAAGTGAATAAATAATAAAAATCAATCAATAAAGAATGTATATATAAGGATACAAAATTTAATGCCTGTATAAATCACTTTCATTAAATAAACTAAATTTTTTTTAATGTATGGAAGTTTTACGCAAGCTAACTATCAAAACTGCAATTCCAGGAAGGACTATCAGAAATTTGCATGATCACCATGGGCATGAAAATGATTAGAACAAAACAGAACATAAAAAAATTATGTGCACAAATATAAGATGATAAAATAGACTGTCAAAATTAACTATTGGAATTGTGTCCACTTGCCACTGTTACCATAAACAGCTTAAATTATGCCTTATAAAAGAACATAACACACACACACACACTATATATATATATGTAATATTTGCTTTTGGTGAGAGATGAAACAATCATGTTCTAGTCATGGCTAAAAAACCTGCTGCGTAGATGACTGAACATTATGGTGTAGTGAACGATCGAATGGAATTTTAGAAGAAGCACAATCAGCTTGACAGTTAAAAATAATTTATTTCTGAATGACGAATTTCTTAACACAAATTTTTATAACTGGTAAAAGATTTGGGGTTCTAAATGTGCCCCATAAATTTAGATATGCAATTACATTTTAAATAATGGCGAATAGCTAGCAGAGGCTGAACAACACGCTGCCAGCAGGCAGGCAAAAAAGAAGGAGACTACGCAGTTATTAGTTATTTATAGTAGACATGTCCTCTCCAACAAAATCGCTTACTAACTTGCTAATGGTTGGGGGACGCTTAAGTACAGTATATAAAAAAAATCTTCATTCCTTAGAAAAAGGTAATTGGTTTTTAGCATTGTACAATTGTCAAACTTTTTCTGTTTTTCTTTAAAAAATCTTTCATATTAATTAATAAAAATACAACATTATACAAAATTAAGACAGAAATTTAAGACAAATAACTTATCCAATCAAGTTAAAGTCTCTTAAATGTCAGCAAAATATAATTAAATATTACCCTACAATAAAGAAGGAAGGAAAAAAAAAATTTCGAATTAAAATTACCATAATTTACTTTTTAGAATCTCCATAATGATATTATAAAAATTTTGTATACATTGTTCACAAACACAACAAATTTCAAACTTTTCACTCCATATAGCATCATTTGAGATAATTTATTAAAATTATGCTTTTCACAATTATCAAGACATTTAAAATTGACTTATTCTTTAGAAAACCTGGAGACCCCACAACTTTCTCTAATTCATTCTGCACCAGTGGCCAAAAGAAATGCCAAATTTGCAGTTATGATATAAAAGACCTCCATTCTTTGGATAGAGGCAATAGGCCTTTAAACTGCTCTATCATTCCAGTATAAAGGATTAAAAACACACACTACTATATGAAAAAATAACAATACTTAGATTTTAAAAAATGTATTTTTTCATTAGGTGAGAGCCTTCAACATTTATCTTAAAAACATTAAAGAAATTCATACAATTTAAAATTTTCAAACAATAATTTAATTCTTAAAATACTGCAAACATTAAAAAATATAAATTCAGAGACATTTAAACAATATACAAACAAATATATTAATCGTATTAGGAACCTTCCGTAAGTAAAATCCTCAAAATTCTTTACCTAAGTTTTATCAAGTTCAGTATTTTTTTTAATTCAAATATACGAAACTACATTATAAATAAATCATAACATTTTTAAATTATTAACTTTCATCTTAAAATAATTTAAGCAAATTATTACTATCAATAAATCATAAAATAATACAATTACTTATAAAAGCAAAGTTATTTTAAAACTTAATGAAAAAATATTGCCTTTGTAATTGAAAGTTAATAGCACTTCAAAACTAATAGCACTTCAACATCACTTTTGATGGCATTTAATGCTTTGAATAAGAAGAACACAAGACAATATTTCGTATTTCAGTCATATGTAAGATATAACAAAATATGATAGTTGCTTTAAAAATAATTGGCGACCTCAAAATTAACTATTCTAGATTTGGTGCTCTCCCATTAAATTCATATGTTCTCCCAAATTCGAGATCTTTCCATAACACAGCTTGAAAAAGGTAACTAAAATTAAAATTAACCAATCATAGCTTGTCTCTATAACTGCATCTACTTCGGTATAAATACCACTCGGTATTATGTGTCATTCTTTTTCCTAGCTTTGCCACTGCTAACATATTCCCGCTGCTCTGCTTGTTCCTCTTAAAATGATGTCGTCCCTGTTAACCTGTGTATGTAAGAAATTATTGTAATTGTTTATGATAAAAAAGTATACTGCCTACAAAGAATTATTCTAATGTGCCTAGGAATAAAGACAGTAATTAGCTGAAACTTGGTATCAACATCTTCTCGTCCTGCCACTCTGCCATCACGACTATGCATTAACCCTCTGGCTGCTCATCCCGCGATTTCCGCAAGCAACTCAAACGTAACAAAATGCACACATGCCCATGACTTCCATGGGCATTTGTTTTTATTCCTTTATTAGGGAGCACATCCTGTTTCCCCCACGTTTAACCACTGAAATAAATTATACATAGTATTACATGTTCAGTTTACGTTTTGGCCAACAGATGTCGTTAGTTGTTCACTAAATTGCGGCATTTGAAGACACGTGGTATTACCGCTCAAACTTCACTTTTTCTTACAGAAATGGCTGCTAGAAAACGTTTAGCGATTGACAATGAGTATATTCCTGATGACTCATCAGATTCTGAAAGCGATTTTAATTTTGATAGCGATAGTGATATAGATTTTTCGGACTGCTCTTCAAATAGCGATGACTCTGATCATGATTCAATAAACTTGCAAAGCTTTAGGCATTGGTGCAAAATTGATATGAAGAATATTCCTCCTCGTCCAGTTCCTTTTCGTGGTACAGTGCAAGTTATTGAATTATTTTAAACTTTTTTTAGATGATCAAATATTACAAATGATAGTCCAAGAAACCAAGAGATACGCTGAACAATATATCCATAAAACAGTTTGTAAAAAAAGGATCACGCTGGAAAAAATGGACAGACACGAATGTTGAAGAACTAAAACTATGTTTTGCAGTTTTGTTACTCCAAGGAGTCGTAAAGAAGCCAGAACAAGAGCATTATTGGTCTAAGCACCAAATATTATCCACACCAATTTTTTGCAAAAAGAATTGGAAGGAATAGGTTTTTATTGCTTATGAAGTTCTTCATTTTACTAATAATGAGGAATTTGATACAGACCGACAACCATGGCTAAAACTGAATAAAATTGATGAACTAGTGGAACATCTTCAATGCAAATTTCGAGAAGTCTATATACCAAGAAAAAGCTAAGTTTAGATGAGAGTTTGATGTGTTTCAAAGGCAGGCTCGAATGGAAATTGCCAAAAAAAGAGCAAGGTTTGAAGTGTTTCGTTCTTTGTGAAGTAGAAAGTGGATACATTTCAGATTTCGTCATATACACAGGTGATGGAACAGTGTATAATCCGAAATACGGCCAATATCCAGTATCCATCAAAATTGTTTTACTCTTGATGGATCGATTCCTGGGAAAAGGTTATTGTGTTCACTATTGATAATTTTTATATGTCTCCACAGCTTGCAGACATCTTAGCTACAGAAAAGACGGACACTTATAGGACAGTGAATAAAAACAGAAAAAGGCCTCCCTGTCAATTTTTCAAAAGAGAAAGTCCCCAAGGGTGAAACTGTTGCTTACCAAAGAGGTAAAGTTATGGCCCTGAAGTGGCAGGACAAGAGTGTCTGCCTTATGAGTACTATTCATGATGCAAACTCTAATTTGGTGACATGCAAATCTAAAAAGACTGTTATGAAACCAGTTGTTGTTTGTGACTATAATAATACAATGGGGGGGGGGCGTTGATTTATGCAACCAAGAAATATCCTACTACCATATGCTCCGAAAGCAACAGGGGAAGTATTATATCAAAATTTTCAGGCAGTTTTTAGATCAATCGTTGTGGAATGCATATGTACTTTACAAAAAGCAAAACCAAATATAAAGCTTTTGGAGTTTTGTTTGCAAATGGTTGAAGAAAGTATCCAAAAGTATTCTGATAAAGATAAAAGTGATTGTCCTGGAAGACCGAGTTCGTTCTTATCCGTCTTTTGGTGTAAAACAAGGTAAACATATTACTTCTTTCTTTCTTGGTTTTATAAAAATTGTGTGTAACTGATGAAAATAATGAGCCTGAATATTCAAACTGAAAATCTTGTACAGTAACTTGGAGTAACTTTGCATACGACAAAAACTTGTAGCAGTAACTTTGTATATAAAACAGTATGACAAGTGGGTTTCAAAAAATCAAAAAGCTTTAACAATTATTGCTCTGAGCATGAAATCAGAGGCAGTGCATATTAAAAAAATGTCACACTTCATATGAAGCATGGATGAAACTGAACGAAATTCATCCGCCTAAAGTACCTATTACGTAAGTTAGCTTCATGAAGCAACTTATCCACAAAAAGATGAACATGAACAAAAAAATGCATAATTACCTAATTTCTTTCTTCGAAATTGTAGATAAACTTGCAGAAATAGGATCTGAAGTTCCATCATTTTATTTTATTATTTTTTATTTAGTTCCATCTATTCCATTTAGTTGAAACTGTTATGTATCCATTAAATGGAATAAAACCATTATTATCCCTATTTTGAAAAAGGATAAGCCTGCAGATAATATTATAAGGTATTGACCTACTGTACTGACTAGTGTTTTGTCAAAGATTATGGAAAAGATGATAGTCTCTAGATTAACTTGGTTTCTGGAGAGTAACAGCCTTTTATCTCCTAAGCAAGCTGGATTCAGACACTATCATTCCACTGTCCAACAGATATCTTTTGTTAGTCAAGCCACTTAGACAATCATTTGATGTCCCGGCAACATTTAAGGACTTAATCAGCTTATGATTAAAGTATGGAGACTATGAACTATTCAGAAATTACAAAACTTGGGAATAAACGGCAGGATGTTTTTATGGATTATGAATTTCTTACCACAGCATTTTTCTGCAGTTCAATATGGTTGTGACATTTCTAGATTTAAAGAGACTGAAACTGACACTCAGCAGGGAACAGTCATCAGCCCATTTCTTTTTAATGTTTTTATTAATGATTTACCAAATACTCTAGCACAGTGGATGGATTCTATCCTTTTTGCTGATGACTTGCTTATCTGGAGTTGTGCTTCTAAAGAGCTGGAATATTGGTGTCTAAAAAATCAATTATATTACACATACATTGGCAGCACATACAACATACTATTTGCTGTTTCAGTATAATACTAATAAAAGCAATGTCGTATTAAAATTTGATTTTAAATGTCATGTATTTCCTGCACTTGTTTTAAATTCACAGTTTGTGTGACTGTAGTATTTTCAGCATTCTGCATTAAACAAATTTTTTTTTGTTTTTTTTTTTAATACAGAGTTCAGTTAATCTGCAGCAGTTGACTGTATATAATATTTATGTCATTTAATTGTTAAATATACCTTTTATTATCCAGTTCATTAAATTTCATTTATTTATAAAAGTAAAATGTTAAAAATATTTTATATGTTCAATTTCTTAATTCTTTTTAAACAACATTACATTTTAAAGCCTTTGCGGTTAACTACTTCCTCCCCCCTCAAAAAAAAAGCTACATAGTTTAATAGCAATCAAATTCTGATTGACAGAAATTTTCAAACCAAGGTTGAAAAATGTTAAAAATTATATTAAATTTAAAAAAAAAACTGGCTTTTGATTACAGAAGTACATTAATTTTATTTTTACCCATATCACTCATTTTGTTTTATAACAATTAATTATTACATTTGAAAAAATTAAAATAATTTACCTGCTTTATAGTCCTTTTTATAGGCTTAGCAATTATTTCCTTTTGCCTCTTTTGTCGCAGAGGAGTCTTTCGAGCAGCTAATGCAGGATTTTTACTACTTGCATATTTCTAAAATCACAAAGTTTAAAATATCAAAAACAATAAAAATTATATATGTATTTGTTGTTTTATAAATATGTACTAAAAGAAGTATATAAACCCACCCACCCCCCCCCCCCCCCCACACACACAGAAAAATCATAAAACGAAAATTACCATAGTTTTGAATTATAAATTTGCTTCAGAAAACAGCATATATATATTTTAAATTTGACCACAAAACTGATACTTCTCCTTTTTTTGTTAAACTTCACATATAATGTAGATCAGAAATAAGGCATCAAATTACGAGTGAATTTTTTAGTCAATGGTATGAAACAAAAGATACAAAACTTTTCAAATTTCATTATTTTGTTAGAGTTACTGTGAAAAATTAAATATTTACCAATTATAATTTTCATTATTCAATGGCCTAAATAATTTAAATTTTATAAAACTCCTCATATGAAAAATATTTACATATTTAAAAAAATTAATATTTACAAAATAGGTACTTTTTCATTTCACTGGCACTAATCTTGCCAAGCAGACTCTATTGACGACAACATACAGTATACACATAAAAATGTTGATAAATGTTAGTTATTTTAATATCATTTAAAATTTTGTAAAAAGCCAATAAATAAACACAATACATTTGTAAAAAAACATTAATTTAAGAATTTACTATGCTTTCATCGTACAACATCCTGATTCGCCTTTTCATACCACGTGACCCCAAGTGATCTCATCTCACGTAAACTATGTTACAAAAATCTAATTCTTTCAGTAATAATCTACATTCATTTCAAATCTTAATTTGGAATACAAGTATAAATGCAAGAATTATTTCAAGTCGTACGACTAGCTTACTCAAAAATCACGTAAAACCGCAATGCTTTACTTCGCTGGTGTATTCTCATTAGAATTGATGAATTTAACCCTTGACTTTGCCTTTTCTATATTTTTGCCTTTGGGTGAACAGTGTGATTGCATCCTAATTGACTTAATTACCGTGAATGACTTTAGAGCATAAAATTGAACTACCTGGTAAAATTTCTATGTAATTGTACACCAGTACTGAAAGAAACAATCTATCTGCTATGAAATGGCTACAACTTGTTTTGAAAATGAGGCATAAAAGATTACCAGTATCATTTGTACCACCATTGGCGACTTTTAACGCCTGCAATGGCAAAATGGAAAAGACCAAAAAATATTTAGTTAATCAGAAAAAAATGCATTAAAATTACAAAAAACTGTCAATAGTTATTTCACTTCATAAGGTATTGTAAGCTTAGTGAAACAATATTAGATATTATTGTTTTTATTCTGTCTTTCCAGAATATTTTAATTAATTATTTTACTTTGTTCTAGTTTGTGAATTAAAAAATTGATGCAATTAAAATTTTTACTCTTAAGTGCACACTTAACGATCAAATGAATAACAAACAAAACATAAAAAACAATAAAACTCAAGTTCTTAAAACCTTTATTTTAATTGGGGAAGGGACAGACCAACTTTTCTCTTGTACACTATCGCAAAAGAAAAAAAAATATTCGTATATTAATATAACACAAGTTGAGTTTCTTTATTCTAACCATTACCAATGAAATTTCAGACGAACACTTGAGAATACAAACCTCATTTCCGATAATATATTATTTTCATTAATAATTACAAAACACTGAAACTTTTAGAATTCACTAGAAATTCTGACTTGTTGAATTATTTTTTTTTTTTTTTTTTTTTTTTTTTTTTTTTTTTTGATGTTACGAATTAAAAAAAAAAAAAAAAATAAAAAGTTCTTCAAAACTTTTACAAACTTAATAATTCTTCTTTTTTCTCTTCTAGTTAAGTTATCAGTTATTAGGCTGAATATGTAATACCCAGATATGATTTATTTTGATTAAAAACAAATTCTCATAGTTCTGATTTTTTGCAGATTTTTACTGAGTACACCTTTTTGTACTTTACTATACATTTTTAATGCATCAAATAACATATTATAGATCAAAAATGAAATGTATAAAAATATTTATTTAAAGTGCAAACTACTTAAATCACTTAATCATATTTGCATTATAAACATAAAATATCAGGAACCTTATACATTACTCCATACTGAATTAATGAGGCAATAATTAAATTAAATAAGTTAACTTACCTCTGCTATTCGGACTTCTCGTTGAAGGTCTTTTATGAGTTTAGTTACATTTATCCCAGGTGGTACATCATCATGCTTATGATTCTAAACATATAAAGTAAAAAATGAAAGTGATAAAGATATTAAAAACAGAATTCTCATATATGCTTAACTTTTCAGCAAATTATTCTAAATAACATCAAGAACACATTTTTTGGGTACAAAATTGCATTAATAATCTTCTATCTACAGCCACAATTTTAAAAATCTCGAGTTATTAGATTCAGACTTAATACTTTGCAAAGTCAAAACGAAACATAATAACATGAGTAAAAAAGAAAAAGAAAAATAGCTGGGATTTAAATATTTTAAAAAGCAAACCAAGTTAAAATGGCAGAAAAGTTACTTTATTATCCCTCCGAGCATTATGGATTTTGCCCTGAAATTTCAAAGTCCCCCAAAATGCCATGAATAAGAGGTATTTTCTTGATCACAATTTCAAAATGACCCTTTGTACATGGACTTCTTTTTTCTGTATATACATCCAAGCTGAAATCGAATTTATCAAGATCTGGCATAAATTTTTATGCATAACAAATGAGAAAGCCATCCTTTGATACGAAGTTTTATGTCCATAACTCTCAGAGGGTTAAACAAGCATTTAATATTGCTACACATTTTATTTTTATACATATTTCAGGCTACTCAAAAAAAAAAAAAAAAAAAAAAAAAAAAAAAACCGCATGCTGGAATAAATAATGCCTTCTGAATAAATTAACAATTCAAGATTAGGATCTAGATTTTCAGATTTTTGACTTATTTTTTTATTTGGCGAAAAATAATTTAACTATCGCCAATAGCCCCCCTAAATGGAGTAGTACCAATAAAAATAAGCTAATCTTAAAATTTTCTTCTGTACAAAAGAAATGCTACTTTCAAAGATGTTTCACATTGCATAACTCCCAATAAATTTTATTGCCCAATAGGCATTCACTCATGCAAATAAATTGATAAGACCAGTTAACTACACTCAAATAGGTAAGATTGTTCTCACCCTACAGAGTATTTGTTTTTCTTTACAGATATTTAAAGGACCTAAATTAGATCTTCAATATCATTTTCCTATAAGAAAACAATGTCCAAATTCACTTCTAGATTATGACATCTTTACGGACTTAAAACAAGTACAAAACTAAAATACTAATTCTCCGTTTAGAAATGTTAATATTAAATTTCAATATTAAGCTTATTGTTTTAACAATAGAAATAATATACGAGTGTGAGATAAAATTTTGGGTCTAATATAGGAGATGATGATATGGTTGCAATTATGATTGGTTGATATAATTCTTTATTTCTGACAAAGTATTAAAATAAGCATACATATAGCTAAAGCGGCATTAAATGTGCATCTTTTATTCAATAACGAAAAAAGCAATTCACATTTAAAACAGAACTGGGAAAAAAGAAAGGTACCAGACAGAGACAGGAATTAGATGAATAAGATTATGTTATGATGCTAGATTAAGAATGTTTTTTTTTTTTATTCTAATGGCTCCTTTAAAAATTTAATTATCAATAGAGAAACATAGTATTTCTTTATAACTATAGATTTAATAAAAGAACTGGCTTTATTACAATTGCATACTTGCCAACCTATGACACTCAAAAATCAGGAGATTTTTCACAATGTTAAAAAGACTTTTTAAATGATAAAAATATAGTTTTTAATAATGAATTAACTTTAAATAGTTACTAAGTCTTAAATGCAAGCAAAACAAAAATACCTTAGACATAAAAAAATTTTTTATTACTTTCATCGTTAAAAAAAAAAAAAAAAGGGGGGGGGGCATTTTAATCAGTTTTCATACAAATGTTATGGACAGTGGCAGATTTTGCTCTCGTTAAGAAAGAAACTTCATAATTTTGTTCATAGCAATTGCCACGTAGGCCTGCTTTTGCTAATAAAAGTTTTTCTAATGTGTCATCACTAATATTAGATCTAAATTTAGTCCTCGTTTTTGCAACAACACTGAAAATCCTCTCACACTGCATTACTATGGGGAACTGTCAAGATGGCCAACATAATTCTAGAGAGTTCACTATATTTTAAAATTCCATCAGCACCTTTCAATTTTCCAATTAACCTCCACTGGGTGTCAATCCTAGCTGATTTTATAACTTCATCCAAGTTTTCTAATTGTAAACTGCAAAATTTCGACTGCAGTATATCAGTAGCAACATCAATATCATCATCTTTCATGACTAAACGAAGTAACACAGGAAATCTGTTCAAAAAGTACTTTATATCAAAAAAAGATGCATTTGCTAGAGCAGAAACATCAGGAACTTTAGCATGCAAAATCACTTCATCGTTGACTGGAAATTTATGTAGTGTGTAATCACATACTCAACAGAAGTAACTTCTAACATGAAGATAAAACTTATTTTTGTCTTCTTCTGAAAGTTCTTCCACTACTTTTGTAGTTGCAGCTCTTATTACCAAATCTTCATCTTCCTTCTGATTTTCTGTTTCACCATAAATCACATCACATATAGAATTACAAGACAAAACACAGACTGGTTTTACAAACTTAGATAAAATGTCTTTAAACAGATCATAAATCATTGATTGCAAAACATGAATTAATGGAATTCTGCTTTGTATAATTGTGTTCAGAACATCGAATGAAGGCAAAATGAATTGTAAAAAAAAAAGCAAAAAGCTTTGTTAAGGTCCGAAGAAAAAAACATAAATATTCGTTCTTCACAGATAAACTTACAGTAATCGGAAAATGTTTTCGTGTGTTGAGCAATTTTTTTTTTTATTATTATTATTTTGAGAGAAATTTGTATCAGCTTTACGCTTATATTTTGCAGTATTATTTTGAGAACTGCCAGTTGAATTGCTGAATGATGCAGAAATTACAAAAAATCAAAATTTTTCTCATTTCAGTATTATGCAGCTGTTGGAACTTGTTTCAATTTTTTCCTTCTCTTTTAGAACACTCCTTTCAAGGTAATAATAAATATCAACAATGTGTTCATCCACATTTAATGGTAAAGAAAGTCTGCCCCTTTTTTTAGCTGCTAAATTTAAGAGGTGACAGGTGCACCTCATAATCTGCAAATCTGAATTTGCCTTTCTTAAGATGCCTGCAACACCAGTCTTCAAGCCTACCATTACTGGTGCATTATCGGCACCAAGCGCTAAGCAATTATCCAGAGAGACTGCATTTTATTTTAAGTCTAAAGTTTTAATAATTAGCTGTGCTATATTAAAGCCTGTCGAATGTCCTTCTAAAGTGGGGACAGAAAGTAAACTGCACTCAATTTCTGAAGACTACTGGATTAAAAAAAAGAAACAACAATTGGATACAGTTTTAAATTGGTATTATTGCTTCTATTCGTAAAGAGGCATTTTGGAGCTGTTTTACTTCAATCAATAACTGAAGATTTAATTTTCTTACACATTTCTTTAACAATTGCAGCTGCTTCGGTCCTTGTACTTGAGTATTTCTTGGCAATTTTGCTATTGGGAAACATTTTTCTAAATAAAGCTGCAGCATGACCGATGCATTCAGTGGCAGGTTGTGCTCCAGTAAAAAGGCAGAGAACAGGTATTCTGCATTAATCACTTTTTGGTCTTTTGTTTCCGAAGAAAAATTTAATTTTTCGTTTTTTTTTTTTTTTTTCAAAACAATCATGTTGTCCTTGTGTTTTTGTGTACGCACATGTTTGAGAACATCTGCCCTTCCACCAAGCGAAATCGAAAAATCGCACCGACAGATGGTACACCTCGCAAATTTATTACATTTCCTTGAAGAAATAATGGAAGGAAAGTCAACTGTGTACAATTTTTGAAACGTGCATGAGTATTTCACCTTTCTCGCAGACATATCAAAAGACGATAATTTCTAAAACTATTTCCTAAAGGCACGTGTACTCACACAACTCAGGACAAGATGAACGAAATAGCGAAAGAACATCCAAAGAACGGTCAACGGCCTTGAGCTTTCTTTGTGCTCATTGGCTAATATATGCCAGATGACACGCAGTGGAGCTCGATGCCCATTGGACAACTGGAGAACGACGTTTCTGGATACGTATGCTGTCAATCACAAAGCAGAAATTCTCATCTGATTCGCAAGGTTTCATTTTAGATATAATCTAGAGAAAATTCAGTTGCTTTCAGACGTCCAAAATCACTTTTTTTTTTTTTTTTTTGTTCCTATAACGAAGTATTAAGCCAAGTTCCATAAAAATCGTGAGAAATATTAAGAATAAGAAAAAGTCGGAAGAAATATATTGTAAATCGGGTTGGCGGGAGAGCGGTCGAAAATCAGGAGTCTCCCGCCTAAATCGGGAGAGTTGGCAACTCTGCAATTGGATAAATGATTTGGTTTTCATTTTTGCCACATGCAAGTACACTACATTACATAAGAATCAGACTAATAAAGATCAATTTTGAAATTATGCATTTCAGAAAGATTTATTGAAAGCAATTTACTATTTTTAGGATAGAAGGAATAATAATGAAATTAAAAAGAAGATTTTAGGAGATACTGCAAATTAAAAGTTAGAATTGCTACATATATATTCTTATTTTCTTATACTATTTATTAGATTTTAAACTTGAAAATTACAATGATTTGAAAAAAATGCAATTAAATTTTATAATTATGGAATTAAATAAAATGATATTTCATGAACTTTAATTTTACAATCACATGTATATTCAACATATCCACAATTAATAAATTTGTCAAACTATAAGGATACAAACTTAAAATTATCACTGTAAAAAGCACGCAGATTTGACTCTACAAAATTTATACTATTAAAATTCCTGCACATTTGTCTGTTTGTTTTCGGCATTATCTAATCCGGAATGGAGAGGAATTGAGTTTCGAGAGAAGTACCCTCGAATTCCAAAAATTTGTAGAAAGCCATTTCGACTAGTCTCCTCTTCATATGATTTTAAACACCCAAACTCTGAAAATGCCAATTTTTGTCTTCAATTTTTTCGAGTAGCAATAGTCTCATGTTTTGGCGATAAAAATCTGCTGTATTACGAAAAACGTTGCCATTGCTCGCTTTCAAATCGTACAGTCTGTTAATAGAAAAAATTTAAGTTTTACAAAATACGAAATAAAAATAGCATTGCCAAACATTAAATATATTACTATTATATAAGGTCACGTTCTGGCATTGAAGAAAGCATACGATTTCATGTGACGTTACTTAATACATGTCGAAAATTTTTTGTTTTAAATAATTAGCTGCTTTTTGGTTTCAGATTGCATTGATAACTGTCACAGTATGTTATTCTTTTATTGATATTGAGAAAAAGTTGTTACATTACATTAAATTTAAATCATGATGTCATGCATATACGTATTACTCTGAAGTGTCCAGTTTCTGATTTGGCAACAAAAAAAAAAAAATTACTTATGAATTGGATGTTGCTTGAAAAGAATGAACTGACTTCACTCATACTATTTTAATTTCAGGTGTAAATGGAAATTAGTTTTGCTTTGCTCACAGCTAGCAACTCTGTATACAGTATATTAAATTAATAGTTCATTTTGTTTTCAATTTTTCAGTACATAGAACTTACAAATATTGCTTTGGCCACAGGTGAGCTTGTCGGCTAGTGCAAGTTAAAAAAAGATACATATTTTTAATTAATTATGTGGTTATTTTCGATTAATGAGGCATCCTGCTGCAAAATGCCATGTATGATTTCTGGCAACATCTATGGTGGGTACACAATGATATCATAATAAGCAGGAAGAACGAATACTTTTAGGATAATTCCCCAGTTGAAATTGATAACTTCATATCCTCAGAATAACCTGAAATTCATTTATAAAATCCACTTCACACTTTTTTATTTATAATTTTTAAAAATTTATTTTGGATATATATAAGCGCTCTTTTTTTTTTTATGAGGCTGCATATAATTAAAGTTGCCAATCCTATTTCTAGCTAAGATTTCACACTAAAATGGGAAAAAGTAACATTCTGTTAACCAAAAAGGTATTGAAAATTCCTTAAAATTTAACTATTACCTGACTGTCAGAACTCCATATTTTTAGAACAGAAACTAATGCCTTCGCTCCAGTCACTAAATAATTTAGTTCCCGTTTGCTAACATTATTATCTGTAGAAAGAAAAGAAAAGTATAACTTAAAATTAAGTAAGCTTAAATAAAGCTACAATTAATTATTTTGCTTAAGGATAAACATTACATAAATACTGTATGATTGATATAAGGAAAAGAAAAATTAAACATAAAATATTTATTCAATGACAATTAAGACTTAAAAAAGATAACACCTAAATCTTTAAATTTTACTTAAAACATTTCTAATTAAACTGCTTTTCATACTCAGCAAAACACATGTTTAGTTTTTGAAAAGCTGTGTTTTACATTGGAGGAAATATTAGTGGAGAATGGATTGAATCATTAATTATATATTCATAGTACTACCCAATATTTCAAATACGTTTCTAAACAGGAAACAAAAAAATCAAATGCATTTTTATGTTTAAAAGTACAAAACCAAAATCAAACCACAAAAATACTGGAAATTCAAATACAACTTTAATTGGATATAATCTATTTAGAAAAAAGTACAAAGTTTGAAGCAATTTTTAACTTAATAATGGAAATAAAAACATGTTACTAATTTGAAATTAGTTGCAACTGTTTCTTAAATTGCTTTTTTCATGTTTTATTCCTTTTATTTAGCTTTCTTGTTATAAAAGTGTGATTAAAAGTTTAATTATAGTAACATTCAGCAGTTTTTTATTCAGATTACTAGCTACAAAACACAAGTTCCAATATTTTATTTATTTACATAGCATTTGAAATATCTTATTACGAAAACCGAAAAAAGTGAACTGCATACAGAAATAAAATATGAAAAACTGACAATAGAAATCATAAACTTTCACGCTAACCTTTAAGCTGTTCCAAAATGTGAGGTGCTGCAAACCAATGCACTGTTTCAAATGTTGGGAATTTATATTTTTCTGGGGTATTTATTCGTTTCTCCATTTCATGAATGCTGCAAAATAATGGTTATTGGTGACTAAAATGAAACAGGAATTTATATTTCAAATAAAAATAATCTGTGGAGTAAATTTCCACTTACTGGAGCTGAAGAGGTATATTTAAGCAATGAAGGAAATTGCCTCCAAATACAATAGAATCAACAGGTGTTAGAACAGCATGTATCCAACCAGTGGGAATAAACAATGTCTGACCATGTGTAAGAAGCATCTGATAACAAACGTCAACCTGATCACCAAAAAATGTTTCACTTTGATTTGAAGATGCCATCCAGTGTTCATATAGTGCAAGATTGGCCGGAGTAGGCTGAATGAGGAAAAAGAGTTTCTCTCCCTACCAAAAGAAAAATAACAACTTTTATTATAAAAAGTACGTTATAGCACAGATTATTTACTGCATCTATATTTTATATAAGTTTTTTTTAATTACACATTGGCATATAAAAAAATATGTATATGACAAAAAAGGGTCAAAATATGTAAAATACCAAAATATTACCTAATTCAGTAACATACATAATTGGTCAACTCACATTTTGTTCTCATTTATCTCTATATAGCACAGCTTTCAACTGTGACCCAAAAAATTAAAAAAGTGTAAGCTCAAAGCATGTCAATATTCAAAATAATCTTCTGTTTTGCAAAATACCATTCTCGGGGCCCTGGAAGCTGTTTCATTCTCCTTAAAAAAAGTTTGTTGAGTGCATAAATCATTTAGTGAAAGACTGTGAAGATAGCATGGAAAACTGTTAACTAAATCTGAACTTGACCAGGTACATTATTGCATATTCCATATACCTATACAATGACAGACATCTCCATTACGTCTGTGAAACGTGGTCAAATTAATTTGGCGGAGTTAGTTCCAAGCATAGGTGATGACATAAGCAGTCATCTAAAGCATCTGCTTGGAAACTACAACCATATGAAAAAGTATTTCTCTTTGAATTACTAATACATTTAATTTATGGGGAAATCAAATGCACTGATCACCTACAGGTCAAAGATAGTGGAGACTGACCTATTTATATATTTGAGATCCCCCCAAAAGTTTATTTATTTATTTATTTATTTTTTTAATGGGCAGAAGTATTTCCTACTTACTTATCTCGCTCACAGGTACCTCACATGCAGGTAAGATGAAGCTTCCATGCAATATGAAGATCAAGCTTTTACAATTTATTTTAATGGGATATGTGTATTCTAAAAACTTCATTTAGTCACAATATGAATCAATTAAAGAAGTTTAACTTTCCAGCGGGCACGCGTATGTGTGAGATAGACTAGATATTAATTTCACATTTGTTTCGTAGGCCAGACGGCACTATGACCACGTGTCCTTGGCTATTCTCTCCTCTTCATTCGCCCTTCTTTCAGTCGTCTGCTGGATTTCGAGGGATTAATGAGAGTCTACAGATTTACTATTTGTATTCCAGAAAATACGCACGACCGTTGAAGTAAGTTTTTGTTATATTTAATTTCCTTTTTTATTATAGAAAATTTTTATTCTTTTGCATCTAAATCTTATGATTTTATATAATTTGTGTGCATAATTACTTTTAATAATAAAATAGAAGCACTGTATGCGTTACACACACGCGATCATATATGATATTTTTGTTCTTTTCTTTTCAGTTATGGCGAATAAAAGTAAAATGCTCAACATGAATGATCCCAAGGATCTTGAGATTATAAGAAATATGCTTTTATGTGACAGTGATGACTATGAGGACATTATTTTAGATTAAAGCATTACAGATGAAGAGGAGCGAATTTCAGGAAGAGAAGGTGATTTAGAATCGGAGATAAGTGCAGAGAGCAATTCTGAAGAGGAAAATAATGATGATAATTCTTCCGAAGTGTATATAGCTCATCAAATGAAAAACAGAAAAGTAATCAATTCTTGGACATAGCATAAAGAACCGTTTAAGAAAACTTAAACAAGCGCCTCATAACATATGTGTTCATGTTCCTGGAGTCATCGGTGAAGCTAAAAATATCTAACATATTTTGGATATATGGAAATGCTTTTTTACTGATAGTATGATAGAAATCATCGTTGAAGATACGAATAAGTTTATTTCTTCTGTGAGGTCTAATTATTCTCGTATAACAGCAAAAACATGGATGGAGCAGAAATAAAAGCTCTTTTGGGCTTACTTTACTTAGCTGGTATTTATCATGGTAACAGAGTTAATCTTGAGGAACTTTTTAAAATAGAACTTGAAGAGATTTTTCTTTTTACTAAGAGCTTTATGGTTTGATGACATAAACACAAGAGCAGAACGAAGAGGAGTCGACCGCTTGGTCCAATAAGAAACATTTTTGAAAAGTTTGTCTCTAATTGCCAGAAGTGTGTTTGTTCACTTGGAGAGAATGTCACAATCGATGAGAAATTAGAAGGATTTCGAGGAACATGTGGTTTCATTCAATAATTCCTAAAAAAACCAAACAAATATGGCATAAAAATTTATGCCATGGTAGACGCTTGTATGTTTTACACATACAATATGGAAATTTATGCTGGAGCGCAGTCAGATGGTCCTTTTTGCATAAGCAACAAACCACAAGAAGTTGTAAAAAGGTTGACAGAACACATTCATAACATTGGAAGAAATGTAACCACACACAACTGGTTTTCAAGTTTTGAGTTAGTATGAGATCTTTAGATGAAAAAAAAAATTGTCATTTATAGATACTTTGGAAAATAAATAAATAAATAAATAAATAAACCTCAAATTCCAGATAAGTTCAAGCTGACGAAAAATCGAGAACCCAATACGAGTCTTTTTGAATTTAGAGAAAATATGACACTTCTCTCCTATGTACCAAAACGTTATAGAAACGTAATACTGATTTCAAGTCTTCAAGATGACGTAGCAATAGATGAAGATACTCAGGACCAAAAACAGCCTGAGATTATCACATTTTACAATTGTACCAAAGAAGGAGGTGTGGATACAGTGGACAAACTCTGTGCTTCCTACAATGTTGCCTGGAACACCAGGCATTGGTCTCTTGTAGTTTTCTACTCAATTGTACTTATTAACATTTAACTATTTACAAAATAATTTTAATATTTTTGCTCTGGAAAATTTATTTTTTATAATAGCACATCTAGGAAATACGCTCGACCTTTCTTGTTGGTGCAGAAGGCGCGCCCACTGGAAGGTTAAATATGTCTTACTGTTTATTACAAATGAACAAATAAGAAAGCAAGAAAATAAAGGAAATAATTAACAGATAAATAAAATAAAGGCAATTATGACATATTAAGTATTTCTAAATTAAAAATGAGAAAAATAATGATAAAAAAATTTGTTATTCAGAAAATGCTTACAGCTCTGATCAATGATGCAAAACATTTCCTGTACTTACACGCAATATATGATACCACACAGATGTGCCCCCAAAGTCAATGTGAAAATCTGTATAACTATCTTGAGCACTCATAAGGCAGTATTTCATCACTTGTGGGCAGAACTGTGTATGAGTTTCAGAATTTTTGGGCCAATAATTTTCAACCCAACTTAGCTTCTGTACAATAGTTGGTGGTTTCACCAGTTCAGATAATCTGAGGAGGATAGAATTTTTTTAAAATAACTTTTCATTTACTTTATAAATCATAACATAAATAACTATAAGATTCAACTGAAACTTTATTTTTCATTTTAAACAAGGAATTATACTAAAACATTCTTTAATACACTATTCCAAAACTACACATATAATAATTTTAATAATTAACCTTACCTAGTTTTAGAAAACTCCAAACTAATGACATTATACACTTTGCTTCGAACAGGACTGTTAAAGTATTCTGCCCATTCAGACATCGGCATGCGGATATTTTCTTGCCGAGCTACATCAATGACGTCTAAGGGAAAGTTGGGGCCTAAAACCCAAAATAAAAATTTTTTAAATGAATAATGTTTAGATTAAGACTCAACAAAACAATTTTTAGTTGCAACAACAACTAAATATAAATAACTTAGTCAAATGAAACATAAAATACATATACACATGAGAAGCAATTTATTATTAACATTTAATACAGAGGGAGTGGAAGAGAGGACAGTCTTGTGCTAGTTAACAGATTGATAAAATTAAACTTGCATTTTCATGTCTTCAGAGTATAACTTAGGACACACGTTAGTATTACGTATAGCACTGCAATAGTGCATAGTAAAAACCCGAGTATCAGGCATTTAACCAACCAGAAACGGCAAGCAGCTGGGGGACTCAAAACCATCATAAAGCATGTACAGGACTTTTGAAACCTGCTGAAAATGTCTAAAACATGAATGGAATTACACAGCTTTCTTTTATAAGAGTTGCTTACACCTCCCACCCATCATTGCATCTATTGTATTCTTCCACAAATTCGTCTTTGGAATAGGATGCCCCTCACAGAAAGAAAAGTGAGGAGTTATTACAAATGAACTTCTAATTGGAATGCATAAGGGATTTCAAAGTTCACAACAGGCTTTTAGTTTGTTCATTGCATAAGTTAGTTTAGCTTTTGTAAAGAAGTTAACTGATATTTATTGGTTTACTCTTGCAGTTTGGAAAAATGGCTAAAACTTGGGATCTCCTTTCTATGGAACAACATGGAATATTTTTGCCATTAGTACAAAATTATGGCATCAAGAAAAATGAAATTGAATGGCCCTGTGATATGCCAACATGTGACTTATTTGAAAGCAAACTTTTGATATGCAAGGTGATAACAAAGAAGATGATTAGATCAGAAATTTCTTTTCCCATCCACAAAGCTTTTCTATCATTTCTATTTTGTATTTGCTCAATTATCTGGAAATTTCATGTATCCAGCAATCCGCATTTCTTGAGCATTTTGATAATTTAACTTTTACAGAATTTTGATACAAAATCTAACTTTTCTCAAAATAGCATGCTGTTTTTCATTCTGTACTTCTATGACATACTTGAAAGCATGCCAAATTATTATATTTTGGTAAAATCTCACCGAGTTTCTTTCTCAGCCCTCCAAGATATCATGCGAAATTTTAGCTCGATAATAATAATTGAATTTGCTTTATACTTAAATAATACCGCTTTTCTATAATTTTACTGTCTTTTCATATAATGCTCAATTCAATACAAATACGGTTTTAAATTTTAAATACATTTTATATACATTAAAAAAAAACTAGAGTTACACAGAGTTTGTACACATTTCTGCACACTGAAATCAAGCTCATTTAAAGATTAACAATGGAAAAAATTATGGACCTAACAGCAAATAGGAATTGGATAAATTATGCTGATTTAAGACTTTTGCCAATTTTGGATGAAATTAACGAGGACACAAAATCGTTAAAAACCAAGGATGTTTAACCCCTTGAATAGCAGCTCAATGAAATAAATTCATTCTGCACGGGCAAGAACGCACAAGAAAATTAGTTCACATGTAGTTAGTTTCCCTGCCTAACACTGCATTCCCCATCTATGTGAAGTAAGATGCCTATAGTGTTAAAATCGCATAACCTGCAATGTTGACACCCAATTAACTTATAGAGCACCTGCCATTACCACTGGGGTGACATTCACAGCTCAATGAAAATTTGTATTTCCCCCCTAAACCGATAAATAACGCAGACTAAGAAATACAAAAAACAGCTCATATATAATTAAAAAATTGTTTTAATATTAGGCAATGAAACTACGGCTATAAGTAACAAAATTAATTTGAAGTTTAAACATTTCATAATTTTTTCCCCTTCATTTAAACAGGTACAATAATTTTAAGCAAATATGGTTGAAATTATCTGCAGGGAGGTTTTTGTTGTAAAGTACTCAATCTTATTGTAGTTTCTCATTCAAATGTATGTTGAATTTGGTAAATATTTTGTATTCAATTGACATTACATTTGCTAAAAATGAATTAAGATAATACTTAAATTAATAAAGATAATTTTTTGGGTTTAGACCAGAAAAATTCTCAATAATTAGATGACAACACGTTCTAAAAATATGTTTGGAAAAATCAATGATCAAGACAGCAATGATTTTCATATGAATGAAAAATCAATGAAGCGCACTATACTTGGATTCAGATTAAGATCTTCTAATATTGCTTGTAAATTTAACACAAAATTTTGCTTTAATATTTGATTTCAGATGTCTGAATTATACAAATGAAAACTGATAAAAAATTTTATACCAAATATAAGGACATATATTTAAAAATAAATTGCATGTTTATCTTAAATACAATAAAACATTTCCTCAGTCTAAAAAAAAAAAAAAAAAAAAAAAAAAAAAAAAAAAAAGAGGCTTTTTTGGCCCTAAAAGGAGTTTCTTTCTCCTGAAAAGAGCCTTTTCTTAAAGTGTTCTTTCTTGTTCTCAGTTACAAAGTTCCATTGTTCAAGTACTGTAATTGCTATGTCAAGAAATCCGACAAAATTGTCAATCAAAATTTCTTGTTCTCTTCACTATCCATAGCAATATTTTCTGGACTTGGAAACACTAGATTTTGCCATCCATTAGTTCACTGATGATTGGGACATTGTCATTGCATTAAAAAACTTCATTACTTAATCTTCATTTATAAGTACTTCTCTACATTTCTTCACAAATTCTATTAACTGGAAAATTTCCTTTTTTTGTTTGTGATATCTGAGAACCTTCAAAGTCGTGGCTATCATCATAAAGTTTACCTAGAGCTTAGCTTAGCTAGCATAAGACTGATGATTAAATTTTTTCTCACTTCTACCCAGAATTAGATTAAGTTATTTATTATATTAATCTGTTTTCCAAACACTGCCTCTAATTTATTTTCTGCATTTGCTTAAGGCTTATCTGATTCCTGAATAAATTATACAGTCAAAAGTCGTTAATCCGGACACCCATAATCCGGAATGATGCCAGGGTTGCCACTCAAACAGGAGAATGAAATTCCCTGACTTTTCCAGGTTTTCCAGGTATGTTTCGAGAAAATTCCAGTCTATCCGCGTAATGTACATTGGCTGTGCTAAGAGGTATTTTAATTATGGTATTACTTGTATTGTGTAGCATATTCACTTAATTATTCAATAAATCCCAGAGGATATTTATTCTTAATTATTCTTGGTACACTTTGTTTACTTTTCCACTTAAGAAACGTAATAAAATTTAAGATATATACATTGGATAACAATTGTACGTTTTATTTAATTATTACTCATTATTATCACCAGTTCAAAACGAGGCTAATCCGGATCTTATAAATCACAACACAATGCTAAATAGTTAGGTTAGATTTTAGGTAAATTTAATTTGTGTGAGGTGTCTTCTTATGCGCCTTAACACTTGAAAACACAAATATAATTATAATAAGAGTTGTTTTCTCCACTGAAGATTGAGATTAGAATCTGCCAAATCTGGAATAAAATTAGGCTTTTTTTGCAGACATTCTGCAGCTAAACGAAAGAAAGAAATCTATTTAATGATATTTTTTTTAATAAATTGAGGTATTTTATATTTATTTCGCAGCATACATAAGGAAAAAATATGTGCATTAAATTTCGTGATGGTATGTCATCATACTGCTAGAATTAATTTCAGGATTGCGCCAGAGAAAATTTCCTAAAATTTGGAAATATTATTTACTAATGATAAATAAATTTAGAGGGAAGAAGCAAGATTAAATGATATGAATAACATAAAGATAAATTACTTAAATTGAATTAGAATAATCAACGATATTTTAGCGAATATAGTTATATTACATGGTTAGCCTAGATGACTGATTACTATAAAATATTGAGTCTCAGTCATTAATATATAACTGATTACTATACACTTTTTATTTTACTGCAAAATGACAAGGTATTTATTAGAAAGAAAAAAAAAAAAGGTTTAAAAAAGATTTTGCGGTAAAATTTTAGTACTATACGGAACGGCCTTCGCACGATTTTGAAAATTGTCGCCAAGAACAAAATGACCCGTTTACCGTGCTCATCATCAAGTCGCCAAATCCCGCTGTACCATACATGGAGATTATTCTAACCAAAGAAAGTCTAGTATGTAAAGAAGAAAAGGTTCCATACAAGTAAATGCTATTACGTCGCTAGAAAGCAGATTAAAAATTTGTCAAGGAATTTGGCGATGGAACCTGGCGGCCAGAATTTCCCTCTCTGCGATGTGTACAGGAAATTGAGAAACACATGTTAAGAAGAAACGTTCTTTGACAGAAAAGAAAACTACGAAAATCCGTTTTTAAATTATTGCGAAAAATCCAATAAGAAATGTTTTATCAAAGAACGTTTTTTCTCGGATTTTTCGCAATAATTTTAAAAACGGATTTTCGTAGTTTCCCCCCCTTAAAATAACTAATCTATGAATTAATTTACTTGCGCCAAAAAAATATTTTCTTTTCCTTTAGAGTTTAAAGAAATTTTAAACGATATTCATTTTATGAAATCTTGATAACGTGACCTTCGAATTTCGACACCAGTTTCGAGCTTCGGCGACAGATATATCGTGCATCATTCTTTACAATACATATTCTTTGATTCTAACCTTCATGATACCGTATACTAGGATTAAACCCATTTTGTTTTATACGAGAACAGGTACTTTATTTAGTTCATGCACTACACATGCGATTCTCGAGGTTACTGGAAACCAAAAGTTGCGGGAAACTTGCTTTGCCTTTCTAAAAGACAATCAAATTGAAGCTGCGAAAATTGGCTCTATGCCAGCTGCCCGAATGACGCTCACGTGATACACAATTCGCCAAAAAAGTTATCTCTTCCGACGTCGGCGCAAAACTCGCCTTTTTTGGCAGGATCGTTGTATAAAATTCCCTGAATTTTTCAGATTTTGACTAAAACACTTAAATTCCCTGACTTTTCGCTGAATTTTTTGGTCAATTTCCGAATTCCCCGATTTTTTCTGGTTTTCCAGGTAGCGTGGCAACCCTGATGATAATCCGGACCTCAAAGCTACAAACTTTCTGCGCATGCGTCGACGCAATGCGCGTAATACATTTACGCACGCGCATATTCGTCTACGCATGCGCATAATACGTTTACGCATGCACATTTAATGTATAGCAAACAGTATAAGCTAAGCTAAAACTATCTAATTATCTATTTCAGTTAATATTGCATATTGCGTTGTTCCTTAATCTTCGAATTGGAACCGGCTTATTATTTTTTGCAGACTGTTATTGAGCAATTTTATAAAAGTAAGTTGGAACTTTCGATTATATCAAATAGAATTTCCGATGCTGGACCTACAATGGGAAAGCATGTTTCGATGTCCATCAAATAAAAAGTGGAATTGCTGCAAAAAATAGATAAAGGCTCCTTTGTTTCTCTAACCATTTCGAGATCTGTTTATCAATTTCATGCTGCTCTGAGGGGGGGGGGAGGGGGGGGAGTCGCGGCGCCCAATGAACTGGAAGTTGATCTGTCAGCACTATTCTTATCTTCAGGGCAGATATTTTTATTTTATTCCACTTATAATGTAGTATTTCATCTCGATGTACTCCATCTTTGATATGATTTAAATCAAATTCCTTGTCATTATAAATATCACGAATACAAATCAAATAGTTTTCTGGTTGCAATTTTCTAATTTCGACTATGCGTAATGTATACTTTACGCATGCTCGCATCGAAAGAAATGTTTAATAAAGTAAACAAATAAATATCAAGCTTTCCTTTTTTTTTTTTTTTTTTTTTTTTTTTGTAAATTTTGATACCCTTTAGATTATAATTGCTTTTTATTTCATAAATTAAGGTTTCATATTTTTAATTTTATAATTTCTGCATGCCATCTTACCAGATTTAAACTGATGATCTATAATCCGGAAAAATCGATAATCCGGAATTGCCAAAGTCCCGACGAGTCCGGATTAAAGACTTTTGACTGTATTAATCTGTTTTCCACATACAGCCTTTAGTTTATTTTCTGCATTTGATTAAGGCTTATCTAATTCCTGAATAAATAAACTAATATATATACTTAAGGTTATCAGAATAAAAAATTGATTATTATTAATTCAAACAGTACAGAATATAATCTTCTGTAATTTACAAAAAATATATATTATGATTTCAAGGAGTCCAACTAATTTATTTTCATATAAACATTTAATATTTCCAATTATACATCTCGTTATTTATATAAATTTTTGTTTATGGATTTCACCCACTTGGTTTGCTTTAAACTTGAAAGTTAATATTTCACACATTGTAACATTGGAACATTGATATATAAGCATTCTATTTGAGGCAGTGGCAACATATTGCTTTCACACAGCCCAAATTTATAGATTAAGACTGAATATAGACTGTTACTTAATGCTGGAAATAAAAATGCTTTATTTTGAACAGTATTTTTCAGTACTTCTATTTCTCGCTTTCAAATCGGCGAGTTTGTTAAACAAAAATTCATTAATTTTGTACAAAACATGAAACAAATCAAATACAAAATTCGGGCCACAAGGTACCCATGTTGGGATGGAGGACTACGCATATTAAAGATTCAATGGTTCTAGGTGTTGTCATTGTTCCACAATGCAAGTAACATAAATACAGATTATTCATTTTTTTAAAAATAATGCATCACGATACATTTGGTGGTACCTGAGAAACGATTCGGACAAAAAGTGAGTTTCGAAACTATTAGCACCTCTACAAACAAAATTATTTCAGCATCAAATTGAAAATTATTACTAATTCTAAAATGCAAATAAATGTACAAACACTCATACAGTCTCTCCAAACTTTGGTATTTAGACATAATTTGAGGTAGAGAATCAAGAAATGGGGGAAAAAAATATGATAGCATTTAAAAAGAAAAGTCTGATTTTGAGTCAAAATATGTACATTAGAGAAATATTATAAATAAATATTATGTTGCATGATCTTAAATTCACTTAGTTCGAAAACAAGTTTTTCTAATACTTGCACAATAGCTGCAAAGTAAGATAATAATTATATATTTACTAAAGAAATATTGATTATATTATCTCCTAATATAAATTTAGTAGAAGTAACAAAAAAAATATTTTTTACAACAGCAAGAATTAAATTACTACAAGCACACTTACAGATATACAGATGATCTTCTTACATTTAATAATTTTAATAAGATTGAATCCTCCAAAATTTATCCAGAATGCCTTACACTTAATAAAACTAATCATTCGCAAAATAATATCGACTATCTCGATCTTCAAATCATTAACTACAAAAAAATTTTACTTTTTGACAAAACAAGAAACTTCAGTTTCAATACTAACAAATTAATAAATTGGACTTCCAATATCTCCAAAAAAGTTATTAATAATACAATAATAAATCAAATACAACGTATTAAAAATATTTGCACAGATACGATAGATCTACAACACGAAATTTTGCTCTTTATTAAAATTCTCAAAAATAATCTAATAACTAATCGATTTATTAACCACTGTCTTAAAAGAGCAGGCGTTAAATACTCACTCTAAATCATTTAACTGATAGGGATATGATAATTTGTTCCTAAACCTGAGAAGGCGGTATAAGTTGGATGACTATCAGTTGGAGGATTTGTACATAGTGTAATTACAAAATTGTATATAATATAAAAAGCTAATTTTTTTCAGACTTTATGCTGTTACTAAAAAAATGAGCCTATTTCATAATCTTTAGTCTGTCAAATAGCTCGTTAACAGTGAAAATCACTTTTTTCCTTCTCTAAGTTTATTTTCTGGCCTTTTATATCTTCATGTACATTTCACATATTTTATTATATATATATTAATTTTTAAATTTTTTATTATTTGATTTGTTTTTGCAAAGATAGCATTATGTTTCTTAATTTTCAAATGTTTATTTCAATTACTTTGAGTTCTATTTCATAATTCCAATTAAGATTACCACTGTTTAATTTACAAATAGTTTTGAATTAACATGCATAAAAGCGAAGGTGTCGGGGACATTTAGTCAAGTATTTTATAAATTTTACTACATAAATTACTTTTCACTCAAAATTTGCATTAGTGAAAATGCTTAATTCAGAATGAGTTCTTTGGTACTCAACTTTGGTTCTAAATCCCATCACTTCACGGAACTATTTGGCCTAACTTAATTTGCCGGTTTGGCATAAACATTCTTACTTGAGTAAAAGATGAAACACCTTTGTATTTATTAATTATTGTTCATTGAACAGGAGTTGGTTTGTTCTCCTTGAAAAGTCAACTAATTTCCGATCAATAGTGATAAATACTTGCTTTTAATTTAATTTCTTTTTCAAAGTTTGAAATTTTGTTATTCATGATTTAATTCAAGTCCCCATAAAACATTTTTAATAATTTACATTCAAGTTACTTTAAAACACAATTTTCGGAATTAAACTTCCTACATATGCATTCACTCTTTTTTGATATTTCTACTAAATTTATATTAGGAGATAATATAGTCAATATTTCTTTAATAAAGAAATCTTATATATATATATTTAAATTGTACTTTGTAACCATGAAAAATGTAACTTGAATTTTGTTAATTAATTAGTAAAAACGGCAACCGCAGGAAAGGAGAGGGAGACAATGCATTGTTAGCTCTAATGACAGCCCCTCATATATTTACACATGTATGCAAATCATAAGGAATGAAAAACACATGCTTTAAAACAAAGTAATGGTTTAAAACTAATATTTATTAACATTAATCAACAATTAGTGAATGAAATAGAAGCATGAATTTTCAACACCTATAAATGTCTAATACTTAATAAAGCAGAAACCTTTCGTTGTCAAATATAAATTTAAAATAAATATAACAACAAATGCAGTTTTAAAATATAATGCAGCAAAAATACTTATATAAAAATCACTGATATAAATGATCAGTTGCCATCACATAAAATATAGAAATACAAATTCTTACCAACATAATCCATGACATCACTAACAGTAAATGAGTCTGAAGGCATCTGAATACCCAAGCCAACTTTTGAATCAACAAGTATAGGATAATTGAAACCATTTTGTATCAAATATGGAAGTGACAGCTGTGGTCCACGCAGACGAATAACAATATCATCAGCACTAAGACATAAAATTTAAGAAATTAGCTGAAATCTATAATATAATAAATTTTTAAAACAGATCATTAACTATATAGAGAAAAAGGTACTTTCCATTATTATGCCCAAGTTATTTAAATGGCATTGAGATTATTAGCAAATTTTAATTCAATTTTGGTTCCTCTGCCCAACAGTAAATACACTGTTGTGTTGTTACTAAATGGTATTCTGGAATTACTGAAATAACAATAGGAATAGGTCATAACAATACCCATGAACAATCTTCCAAAATACTTAAGTGCACTTAAAGGATATCAAGCACGGAAATAACACTAACTTTGCATATAAAAATAATGACAAATTCTCAGTAAAATATGTTAATAATTTATATAGCAGTAAATTAAATAATTAAATTTGTATTTAAATTTAATTTTTTTAATTAAATTCAATTTATTCTTATGAAACAATTTTGTTTGTACTTAGCAGCTTTAGCGCTAATTACCTGGTTTGTTTCTCTTTTTTTATTAAAAACAACTTTCTTTTTCTAATAGTTTTGTTTTTATTTTAAACTCGCTCTCTAAATAATATGTTTGCACATTTTTTTGTTTAAAATTATTTTGGCTTTTTTCCTTTTTTTAAGATTTTAATTTGCTTTTTACTTTTATACATATTTGTTAAAAATTAAATTTTAATTTGTTTAAATTTCATTCCTTGCAGCAATGGCACAAAGAATATTTAATTAAATTTATATTTAAATTTAATTTTTTTAATTAAATTCAATTTATTCTTATGAAACAATTAACTTTTAATATTATATAAAGCTTTATTGACTGACAAAAATAAGTGTATATGATGAAAATATGAAAATACATTCCAAGATGAAAAAATATAATCATGAAAAACAAGTAGAACCTGGCTTTTAATGCACAGTTCTATATTATATAGGAAAATTTTATACCCATTATCCCTCCCCAAAAAAATTCCTATATGAAGAAAATTGAAGAAGATATTTCCTTTTTAAGTTTAGGATCACATTTAGGACCATACACAAAGTGAAGACAAAATGTTTGCATATGTATATAACAGAAAATAAAATAACAGTTGAGAAAAAAAAAATTTCTGATGTTAAAAAAGTAAATGACGAGCATTTCTATGCAGATTGCTTAAAAAAAAAAAAAAAAAAAGAAAGAAAGAAAGAAAGAAAGAAAGCTCAATATATATATATATATATATATATATATATATTCCAAAAAGGAGATATAACTCACAGAATCTTTTAGAAATCATGTTCAAGAAAACAAAGCAAGTTTCAGTACTGGTACATAGCCATATCCTAAAATTACTTGTACAGTCAAAAGTCGTTAATTCGGACACCCATAATCCGGAATGATCTATAATCCGGACCTCAAAGCTAAAAACTTTCTGCGCATGCGCCGCATTGACACATGCGCATACGCGTTTATGCGTGCGAGTAAGACCTTTTACGTCTGCGCATATGCATGTGCGCAAGTGCAGAATACGTTTTCGCGTGCGCGTTTTATGTATAACGGACGGAATAAGCTAATAATCTATTTCAGTTAACGTTGATGATTGTGTTGTTCCTTAATTTTCAAATTGGATCCGGCTTATTATTTTTTGCAGACTGTAAGAGCAATACTATAAAAGTAAACTTGAACTTTCGATTATATCAAATAGAATTTTCGATGCTGGAGCTCCCAAACGATCTACAAAGCGAAAGTATGTTTTGATGTCCATCAAACAAAAAGTGGAATTGCTGCAAAAAAATGGATAAAGACATGAAGAAGGTGACAGAGAGGTTAGTGAAAACGAAAAAATTTCGATTGACAAGTTAGTCGGTATTCTCGGCACAGCAATTACGGGACTTGAACAGCGGAACTTCGTAACTGAACAAGAAATTATGTCTGTTTGTAGAATTAAAGAGAAAGTATTATCACATAAAACGAAGCAACTTAAACAACTTACATTGAAAGAAATGTTTAATAAAGTAAACAAATAAATGTTAAGCTTTTTTTTTTTGTAAATTTTGATACCCTTTAGATCATAATTGTTCTTTATTTCATAAATTACGGTTTCATATTTTTAATTTTAGAATTTCTGCATGCCATCTTACGAGATTTAAACTGATGATCTATAAACCGGAATCGATAATCCGGAATCGCCGAAGTCCCGACGAGTCCGGATTAACGACTTTTGACTGTATAAATTAAAAAATGACATAAACCTTGAGTTATTCTAATTAATTATTTCTCGACCCTTAAAGGCACATTGAAAATGAAATCAAATATCCAAAACCTTGAAATAAAATAACTCGGCTGATTTTTGTCAAGAGAAGTCAAACTTTTTTTTTTTTATAATCAGCATAAAATTTTCTTCAATATGGATATATGAGCTGAAAGACTGCATAAAAAGTCAAGTTTTGTAATTCTTTTTAAATAATTTTTTTATATTTTAAAATGCCAGCAAAAATAAAGAGCAAATAAAGACATTTGAGGACATATAATATATGATGGGGCTAGAACAGTAGGGTTAAAATATGTACAATTTCTATAAATATCAGAGTAAATTTCAAGTATTGCACATTCAAATAATCAAGCAAAATGCATTAATAATTTTGAAAAATGACAAATGATGATAAGAACAGAAATACAAATAAATCAGATAGACATCCACACCAATACATTCTCTAGCACATTACAAAGTTTAAAAAAACAAATCTCCATCTTCTTATTAATAGTCGTCCAAGGGCTACTATCGTATGGCAAAAAAGATTCATAAAAGTCATAAAAAGCAGGAAAATAAAGCAAAACAGACTACTTGTGAGCTTGCTACATCTGCAAGGATGCATGTAAACAGATATAAGATACTTTAATTTGTGTTCCTGCCGTGTATTTGAAATAGTGTAGATCACTATAATTGCAGTTCCACACAATGCAATCAAGTTCTCTTCATGACAAATGACTTCATGTGAATACTTATTTGGAAAGAGATGAATACTTTTAAAAATAACTAAGAAATTTGTTCCATACGGCATTACTAATAAATGCACAGGAATTTTTGCATGTTGAGACATATTTTAAGTGCACTGCAACTAGCAAGACAAGCTCCGAGTGCTAGGACGGTGGCATTAAGAAATGCTCACAATATCACTCTTGTCAAAAGAGCCATTTTAATCTACAACTTTATAAAGTTTCAGTGCCATGGAAGATGCTTGTTCTTTCTCTTGCAAACTGTACGGTGAGATTATGAGAGTGAATTAAAAGCCTGGAAGATGCTTCAAGGTCAGGATGCCCAACTTCATCTGTCACAAAATAAATTGCTTCAGTCAAGGCCAGCAGATGTGACCTATCACAAAAAAGACAAAAGTTGGATAGCAACCATTTTAAAGTAGAAAAGTGTGTTCCTTTTGGTTACTTCATAACATATACGATCAGTAAACAATATAGTTTTCAGTCAGTCACATGAGGTGTCTAAGAAGTTTGAAATTGGAACATTTCACTACATTGAAAATATAATAATAAATAATACAATTTGACTGTATTATTATGATGTACACACAAAAGCCCAAAGCAGAATCTGAGTGTTTGAGGATGAAAACACGGTCAGGTTCAGACAAAAATCATGATCTGTGAAGAAAAGAATGGTATTCAAAAGAAGAAAATGATATTCTGTGAACAGAAGAATAAAGAGAAAAGAACATACCTTTTAAAATATCTAGACATGAGTTCTTTGGCAAAAAACTAGTAGTATATTTCAGTATTATGAAAGTCATACAGCATGTACCACAGGAAATACAGAAGACAATCACAATTACATATTGAGGAGTACCTGTCTAAAGTTGTTTAAATTCTTACAAATATTCAATAAGTTTAACAGAAGACACACTGCTTCTTCTCAACGACAAGTCCTGCATAACACTCCAAATTATATGTCAGTTATTTGGCAAATACTCTGCAGATGGTGCAACATCTTCCTCACAATACAAAACACCTTTTGACTTTTCTATCATATGAAGAATAGATAAAATAGAGACAATTTTTCAACAATGAAAACTTCAAGACAGATGACAGAGTATAACCAGTTCTCTCACAAAATGTGGAAAAGTTGGTTTTCTGACAATTTTTATACATGCAGAATAAGTGTAATGAAAAATATTTTAGTCTAAAAAGTCTATATATAGTCTATATAAAAGTTTCAGAAAATTTATGTGGTACTTCAGAACTTTTTAAGCAACTAAATATTTCCAAAAAATTTCAAGAAGCATTATGCAAATGTTGACATGTCTAAGCAAATTCTGACTAATGGAGTTTTACAGAATATAGTGCTAACAATAATTAAGAAATGATATTGAAAAGAACATACCTTTTAAAATGCCTAGACCTGAGTTCTTTGACAAAAACTGGTGTTCCAGATTGTACAGCCTAGTAAATAAAATATTTTTAAATTAAGAACAAAAAGCATATCTGATATTCAGTTAAAAAAAAAAGCACAGCTAAGTTTATTGACAACATACAACAAGAATATCTTGATTTCTTTTCAGTACTTTCAGATAAATTCTACAAAAGACATACAAATATAGAAATAAAATAAATTCAAAGTTAAACTATGACTACTACATATTTTTTTCTATTCATTTTAAAGAAAAACTGCTCAAAATATAATCTTAGATTATTTGGCTGTAGTAAGAAAATATGTTATTATTTCAATAAAAATAACAACTGTATGAAAGGTGGAACTGAATTAATAAACTAAAGCAAAGTATGCTTGGGCTTTCAACTTAGTTTTACCTCAATCTCATCTGAAAGCATCCACAGTCTCTTTTCCTTTCCACCAATTTCTGTCTATCTGATCATACTAAAAAGATTCTAAATTTCTCTATTTTGCAAACATTAACACAGATGTTCACATTTTGTTTTAGATTTAAGTCAAAATTTAGTTCATTGAGACCAACTTCTGCTAAACAAAGTGAATGCAATGGTATAAAGGATATGGAATTTTATCTCTTTTTTTTTTACTATTATTATTATTAAATTCATGTGTATATTTAAATTTACTCAGCAATAATAGCAAACTTAACTGCAAAACAGACTTACTTAATAATCTTTCTTTAAAGTTAAAATTTTAGTAGCATCAATGAAGAAGATGGTCAATGCATTCAAACTGTATTTCTTATTTGATAAATGGACATAATTAAATCATGCAATTTAAATCATCTACATATTTTAAATGAATTAAAGTTGAAAATTACTATAAACTGTCCAAAATAAGCAGAAAAACTTTTTGCAAAAAATGTTTTGATAAGGAGAGGAATATAAAAAAAAATTACTTATTTTCTGTATAATAATATATATAGACAGAGAGAGAGCAATACCAAGTAATTGGTTTCAGCACTGAACTAATCAAGGTGTGAGGATTTATCTATTTTTTATTAATAGTTAATTTTGAGTTAAAGTAACTTTTCTGTTGCTTTCCTTTTCACCCATGCTTTCATGCCAGAATGTAAATGAGTATTTATTAATTAGAAGTCAAACAACAAAAATCAGCGTTATATTTTCAAATTTTCACAGGACTAGTTTCGATGGTTTTTACCGAACCATCATCCTCAGATGCAAAAGCGCACATGAACGAGATAAGATAAGAAAGCCTGGACAGGAGATAAGCTACTGGTGCCATCTGTTGATGAAACCAGAACTAAAACATAATTTATTTAAAGGCTTAAGGCAAAGCTGGATTGGAATATCTTTATCGTTCAGCCTTTAAAGAAATTATGTTTTAGTTCCGGTTTTATCAACAGATGGCACCAGTAGCTTATCTCCTGTCCAGGCTTTCTTATTTTATCTAACCATTATATCTTATCTCGTTCATTTGCGCTTTTGCAGCTGAGGATAATGGTTCAGTAAAACTATCGAAACTAGTCCTGTGAAAATTTGAAAATATAACGCTGATTTTTGTTGTTTGACTTCTAAATTAATATTTGTTCAGCATGTTATTGTATCTTAATTAATGAGAATTTAGTTAGATTGAGGGAGAAAGAAATGCTATTTAAGTGAAGGTTTTGCAAGTTTAGAGTTAGAATGTCTTCTGCTTACTCAAAGCCACATTGTTTCTGTGACTAAATAGAGATTTGATTCTGTGCTGTTGAGTGCTTCTAGCCATTCGGCTTGTCTAACCAGTTTTCTACAAACCAGAGCTTTCCTGCACATTACTTTGTCCTGTGAGCCGTTAGGCTAATTTAACTACATTTTATTTTAGTTCAACATTACTTGTTTAAGTTAACCCAGAAGTGTTGGCTTCTGTAAACCCAAGCTGGGTCATTGTTACTTGTTTGTGTTCAAACAAAAGGGCTGTTTACACTATTCTTCTGACTTTGCCAGTCTACAGTTTAAGACAATAGGATTATTTCACTCTAGTCTTCGTAGAGTCCATAAACGTATGCTACCAAAGAGCATGAGATTCTGTAGAGAAACTATATATATTAAGATAATTGGTTAATTTTTTTTAAGTCCGTTCTTTAATAAATATAATGTGTTGAATAAATTCAAATAATTTTATCAGATGAAAGTTAGAAAATTCACAGTTCTGTAATTCAATTTTTAGTCTCTAAAAATTGCAATATCGATATCTACCCACTTATTTTACCTTTTCTCTTTAAACAATTTCTTTGTAGCAATGAACTGCATTGCTTATTGTTTGACAAATTGTAAAGCTAAGTTCATTAGTGGGATCAACTTTCATAATATACCCCGACTAGGTTTTAACCATTCCAATAACTTTTCATAGTTTCTAGCTGTTCATTTTCATGCAGGCACTTCAACAGTCATTCTTAAGTTACTCTCTCATTCTCAAACCTATTGTTCATCTCTGTTAATTGTTTCATTATCTAGATCATTAACGTTCGATATGATGCACAGACTGAATCTAATTCTCTGAAATCAAGTTGCTGTTAAATTTCTACTATGTTATTAGCAACTTCAGGAAAATGAGATTCAAAATCAATGAAATAATTTCCACAATATGTTTTCCATACTACCTGTATTGTGCATTATCAATAAATATCATGCTATGCCTATATTTTGACAATGTAAAAAATTTGATTACAGTATGCACATTTTCTACTGCTATATATTTTACTGCTGCAGGAAATGTACAGCACAAATAATAGGCCTTAATATATCACAGTGACTGGTTGGATCAATAAAACATCAATTCACCATAAGCGTTGTTTCATGTTTCAGATTGTTGCCACCAAATGTTATTGCCCTGTATTATATTTAAAGAAATTAAAAATGAAGAATCTGCATAAATGTATGTATGTTTCTTGCATTGCAATAAAACAACGGTACCTAGAGCCATCCAATTTTGAATACCGTAATCCTCCTGCGAATATGGGCATCTGGAAGCCCAAATTTGAAATTTTTCATTATCAATTTAATATTTTGTAAAACTTTAATGAATTTTTAATTAAAAAAACTCAAGGATTTCAAAGCGAGCAATGGAAATGTTGTACAGAAAAAGCATTTTTATCTCCAGAGCACGAGACCGTGTATTGGAAATTCTAAAGATATGCTCATTTTAAAATTATTTTCGATATTGCTGTTGAACTGAATTTTATGGTTTAAGTGCGAAGAACATGATATTTAATAAACAAAGGTAACACATAAAATGTAAAAAAAAAAAGTCCATTTGGACGTAATTTAAAATCTGAAGACTTTCAGATTTCTCTTTTTTTTTATTAAAAAGGAAAATATGTTAGTGAAGTTGATTGTGCTAGACAGTAAAATCCCTCTTAACTGGAAATCAGAATGGCACTTTTGGAGATTTAAGTTTAAATTCAAAATTTAAGCCGAGATAAAAAAATATATAATGAATTAAAAATCTGATGACTTAGAGGATGAAAACACTTGTGTTATGTTTCTGCCACCAATCAATTTATTATGCAGAATAAAAAGATGGCCTATGGATATGTTTTTATGCATTAATGTGTGAACTTTGAAGGTAGTGTCCATGATTTCACAATTAAAGATCGTATATTTACTTTGGCTCTTGCTGCAAAGATACGAATATCAATCCAAGGTTTGTGTAAATTGCAATTGCAATCGTAAATGATGAATCATGTTTGTCTAGTTTCAAAACACATCCAGTGCCCTTGTCCGACATCTTGGACATGTTTGGAGCAAAAACCTTCAGTGGCAATATCTTAAGAAGGCAGTCATTCAAAGTTAGTTCTTCATACAAAAAATTTGTTACGTTTTATGTGATAACAAATTACTATACAATTTTAAAATATTTATTCCTCTGAAAATTAAAATCATGTTTTAATTTTAAATAACCTGCATGATTTTTGATACACTTGTTTAATATTGGCTGATAAGTCAGAAAATATGCCCAACAGTTTTGCATGCTATAATGTTTTTGTGGCATCAAAAAGCGTAAACAGGCAAGTTTTAGAAATATATACTCAATTATCCAGAATCAGTTAAGTCCCAAAGCTACCGGTTAAGAGAGATTCTATGGTATCAGGCTAAAGTCCTGTTAGTAGTGACGTAGTTTCGAGGTGGTTTGAGAAGTTTAAGCATGGAAATTTCAGACTTGCATCAATATAAGGTGATATACACTTGAGATGACCTTTCTCTGTAAACAAGGACCTATTAAAAGTAGCTATTGCTGAAAATGCATGCTACAGATCAAGAAATGTCAGATAGAATAAATATACCAAAACGAACAGCACATGATCATTTGAAGAAGAATGGATATGTAAGTCCCTACAATGTATAGGTACACCATACTTTAAAAGAGTGGAATATGATTGCCTTTACGTTTGAGCTTGTGATTCTTTACTCAACAGAAACAAAGAAACTCCTTTTTTTCTCTCCCCAAACGGCTCATTACTAGAAATGACTAGTGAATACTATATCATTATGCCACAAGAAAAAGATCATGGGATAAGCAAAAATAGGGAACCTCCTTTAGTAACTCAAGAAGGGAGTTGCATCCCATGCTGCTTGTTGCATGTCAGATAAAGTTTATTGAAGTATGCATGGGATCTTTGGTTTCACTCTTTATATTCACTAGACCTCACCCCTAATGATTTTTATATCTTCAGGTCCCTTCAAAATTTTCTGAAAACAGCCTGGAGTTTACTTCTTTGAAGAATGTCAAACAGCATCTTGATAACTTTCTGAATAAACCTAGTGACTTTTAAAAAAAGAGAATATTCCAGCTGCTAGAGATATGACAAAAAGTCATATAACAAAATAATGCTTATGTGATTCAATGAAATATTTTTAGGTTTCCTTACTGCTTCATCTGTAGTTATCACCAAAAAACTACAGACCCTTCCATTCAATACATTTAGCATGATACTAGATAAATTTAATTATTATATAAAATTTATTTATGTATTATTTACCTTATTTTTCAA